ATATGGTTAATATGTCAGAAATCTTAACATTTTAAATAAACCATTCTCCACCTTGAATTATTTTCATAAAATCCAAACAAGGATTATAGTCCTTTATTGGGATTGTCCTTGTACAGATTTCTTTGATTTTTGTAAATCGAATAAGTATGCAGGTATAGCTTACGAGATGAAACTGCCCTAAAATTCCTACAAGTTGTACTTATTTTTTCTTCCATTGCTGCGTGTAATTTGCTGGTCTTCATTCATATTCATTAATGAGAAATAACTGGAATTTTCTTATAATGTCATCTTTTGCTGAACTTATAAGCAATCAAACTTCTAGCTTCTTCATGGTCTGGGATGGCTCAGATATGTTCTGTTCTTTCAGGGTTGGACAGACAATACCCATGAAAACCCCTGGACAGAGCATGTTTTTAATGAATGCTCTCTAATCACCTTTCTGGTGTGGTCACCTGACTAGTGTTCTGCTTCTCCCTGGACTTAAACTACATTTAAGCTGGTCCCTTTCCCTGGTGGCTTTCCTTATTGTTAAGTGACATACATGAGCAAAGAGGCAAAAGTAAAGATATGGTCTTGGCCTTCAACAAATTTTCCATGTAGGAGGGAAAATTAAAAACAAGCACGGCTGGGAAGATAGCTCAGCAGCATAAGCACCTGCCTGGCGATCATAAGGTCCTAAATTCGATTCCCAGTACCAAAAAAAGAAAAAGACCGCCCGGCCGCCCATGGACAGCTACCACTTCTGAATTCCTACTTGGTTTTCCTATCAGTACTGTCTTCTCTTTCCAAAGCACCTCAAACTGCAGGACCAACATACACACACGTGTGCACATGCACAATGTTCCAGATGTGCCACACCGATGCCTGGAGACAGTGCCCGAAGCCTTGTCTTGGAAGTCTCTAGAATCTGCTTCTAGCCACCTCTCTCTCCTCCTCCGCCACCGGTTTCTTCTGCGCATTTCTGTTCCAGTTAAAGCAGTCCATCTGACAGCTTCCTGAACTCCCTTCTCTCCCACCTCCACCCTGCACATGCCATCTTGCTACTTCCTTCTCCAGGAAGCTCTTCATTTCCTCCATCCTCCAATCTGCAGCCACTCTTCAAGTGTCACTAAAATGCCACCTCCTTCAGAAAACCTGCCCGGATTCCCCCAGCAACTGTTACCTCTCCTGGATAAATGAGCACACCTGTTTATGCCTGGATTCAAATTACAGAGTTAAGAGTCTGAGAAAGACAAACAGCTCACCACTCTGAGCCTCAGCACTCTGCTCTGAAGAAGGGGTTGGTAACTGCACCGACCTTGTGGCTCACTGGGTCGTCCCTATCGGACAGTCAACTCAGGAGTATTCACAGAATATTTCGCAGGGATGCTTAGAACACGGGGACAGATATTTAACTCTCACCCTGGAACATTAACTGAGTATTTTACTTTGGTTTTAAATTCATTTTCTTGTCTTTTACCTTCCTCTGAACTCTAGATGATATAAAAGTTTCATGAATACTAAAAGAATCTATGCTTTTAACTTAGTATCTTTACAATGCCTTTAACGATATCAAATAAAATTTTAAAAAGCAAGAAAACTCCTAAAAAGTAAAGTGAGGCCCAGCCTCACTCATCTCTCCACTTCTTTTCCTGCTCATCACCAACTCTACACTAAGGCTCCAGGATTTCACTGACACCACGTTAACCTGGAGAACTCAGCTCTGGTGCCACTGTCCCCCTAAAAGACCAGAGGCCATACCCGCCAGGTTCCTTGTCCTCAGCTTCCAAAGTCTGTTTCCATCATGAAAGCAAAATGATGTCAGAATTCTAGTTTCTTTATTTAGTATCATTATATGCTAAGCATTACTGGTAGCTTTGATCAAATGAGCTAAAACCAAAATCATACATATTTATTTTTCTTTGGGTTGTGGTGGTTTGAATCCAAGGCCTTTTCACTATGCTATGTCTCCAGCCATTATTTTAAAGACAAGGTCTCACTAAATTGTCCAGGCTGAGCTTTGAATTGTAATCTTACTGCCTCAGTATCCCAGAGTGCTGGGATCACGTATTGCTGTGCCCCACGCAAAATCATATTTATTGTAATGTATGAATTTTTTCTTAAAGACTTTTTTTTTTCCCCCCAACAAGATCTTGCTCTGTTCAAGGCTGGCCTTGAACTCACTGCGATTGCCCTGCTCCAGCATCCCAAGTGCTGGGATTGCAGGTGTGTGCCACAACGTATGGTCTTAAAGGCCAATCTTTACAATAAGCATTATAAGGATTTTTTACAAGTTTAAAGATTCAACAGCCATATAAATGAAGGGAAATCCCTTATAATTCACCAACTGAAACACCCAGGACAGAAATGCAGCACAGAGGGACACAACTTCCTAAGCTTTATGGACACCTATGAGACACCTGTAAGAAAACATAAAATAAAATAAAATAATGTTTCTATAACACTTGATTAACTGACACTCTTGAGTGCTGGCAACTTAGTGGCCTTGGTGTTCTTCTCAGAAATACTGCCTGTAACTCCTGGTAAATCCTGGGCACTAGCATCACCCAGGGCCTCCTGATGGCTGCTACCATGGGTTCCCAGCTGCACAAGGTGCCGGTGCCTGCCACTTGCCCAAAGCCTCTGCACTTGCCCACCACTGTGACCTGACGGCACTCCTGGCTCAGGCTGCCTCACAGATGGGATGGGGTCCTGAGCCCCAAGCCACCTGTGGCAGGGTTGCAGTAGCCTCTGCTGTTGACACAGCCTTCATGAGGGCTCTGCCTGCCACCTAAGAAGTACAGACTATCTGAGACCCAGTGACAGGGTTCTTCTTAAGCCTTACATAAAATAAAATTTAACTGGGGCGATTTACTAGAGCAGCTTTCAAAGCAGCCACAACTTTGGGTTGGACAGGTGGGCCGTTCTATTTCAACCAACACAGGAAGTGCCCCCGAGTCAATGAGGAACTATTTCAAAACCTAACTTGAATATGGGCCACATGGAAGACTACCCATCCAAGAAAGAACTTAAAACACAGAATTTTGCCCTACATAAAATTTTATATAAAACACAGCTACTACATAAAACAAAATGAAACAGCTGTGAATAGTTTCTAGGATTTTCTTTACCTTGAGCTTTTGCACTTGAATAAAATCCAAACCATGTGACTTAATTTATCATCTTTATTTGTTTTAAAGTTCACAAAATTCCAAATTAAGTAAAACTTTAACTTGAGAAAACACAAAGGAAAAGTTTGCTCTGACATTTTTGCCAGTTTTAAAATATACTACATAGAAAGGTACTTGGGTTTTGGAGATAATTTCCAGCTATCTTTGAAAACTTTATGTTGCTAATTTAGACGTGATACTCCTTTGCTTTGGTTTTTTTTTTTTTTTTTTTTTTTTGAGACAGGGTCTTACTATGTAGTTCAGATTGGCCCTGAACTCACTATGTAGCATCAGCCAACCTCAAACTCACAGTGATCCTCCTGCCCCAGCCTCTCAAGTGCCACACCCAGCCAGTATTCCTTTTAAACACATCCCTTTTCCAAACTTTAATCTCAAAAGTTAGGAATAGTGATGCACACCTATAATTCCCGCATTCGAGAGGCTGAGGCAGGAGGATTTCTATGAGTCTGAGGCCAGCCTGGGCTACATAAGTGAGTTCAAGGCCAATCTGCACTACATAGCCAGGTCCTGTCTCAAACAAACATCCCTAAAGCAAGTATCAGTCAGTAACCATCTGTATTTAACTAAATACTAACAATACAAACTGTGTTAGATACTAACATGTTATAAAGACCCAAAAGTAAGTAAAGGATTTCTCTACTATAAAATGAGTACAACTTTATTATTTTGAAGTTTCATGTAATGGATTTGGGCCTTAGGAAACCTGTAACATTTTGGCTCTCTTAAAAGCTCTATCAGAATGATTTATCATTACTATAATCCAACAAGATATAGATGTACAGGGAAAGGTTGATCGCTTCCCTTTTCCCACCCTGTAGAATCTATTAGGAGCATTTTCATCATGCCAAATCACACACACCCTTAAAAATACAACCCCCCCCCAAAAAGACACAAGAATAAGAAAAAAAAAAATACAACCAGATGTTTTCTTGCTTTTAAAACTGAGAGTCACACTATAAATACATTATCCTGCAAACTGCTTTTTGAAAATATAATACAGACATTTCAAACTAAGATACAGACAATCCTTTTCAGGTCTCTGAATTATGAAGAGTTACATGATTCATTTACAGTCAAATAAAGAAATGCTCTTTTGCATTCACAGAACAGACCAATCATCTGAGCTAGGACTCAAAGCCTTTGGTTACTTCAGCTATAGCAAGAAACAACTATTAGCGATCTGGAGAAAACACAATTCAGACGGGGGCTGGAAACCGTGGACAGACACATGTCATGCAGCTTGCTGTGTTGTCTCACCCAGGCCTTGACCACCTACCTGCAGCCGTGTGGACGGGCCTCTGCTGACTGAGGACCATGATACCCTCTGCTTCAGGGCGGGTACCTTAGGCCCACCCTATAGCTGCCCAGAAATCAGTGCTACAGACCTTGTCTACAAGGGCCAAGTACGTGCTCAGGAGTACAACCTGGGATGTGTCGTGAGACCTTACAGATAGTCACCTAAAGCTGGCATGTTTGGAAGGCAGCCAGTGAAATACAATGAGGTCAACAGGGTACATTGATGCCATGCTCTGAGACCTGTATACTTTTTTACACCTTCAAAATTCTGGAAATAATTTTTTGGATAATGAGTATCACAGAGGGCTATTTGTTTCACTGAAAGTTCTTAAAGTTTTTCTACCAGTGCCTTGGATTGTGTTAAAACACTGTTTCCTGGTTTGGGCTTACAGACGTTTCTACTAGTTTAATCCCAGAGCTCACTCTATAACCTGTCATCCCTGAAGTTTCTTAGTGCCTTTTCACCACCACATGGCCTCTAGGGGCCACAACCCCAGCGCCACGGGAGGCATACCTGTACCTGGCCAGACCTACCTGTGCAGGAAGTGCAGCTTGTGCATAGCGGCCAGCCCCGCAGCGATCTCACATGCCATCCTCTGCAGCAGCATGGTCTGCGAGTCGCCCCGCACGTGCTCCTGCTCATTGTGCAGGTAAGTCTTCAGGTCGCCCTGCAAGAAGCAGTCCTGCATGTGAGCAGCGAAGTGGATCATCCAAACACCGGTCTACACATATGCCTTAGCTGACAGGCACTGTCAAGGCCACGTGGAGGAAATGCAAAGGTCTGCACTTGACGAAAGATCTCAGACTGAACAAGCTTCAAATTATAAAAGGTAATTGTGGTCCAGATTTCAAAAGCATAGATCAACATTATGCTTTTTAGGGTTATTTGAATTAATTTATGTTTGTTATATTAATGCATACAAACAAAGCAAAATATAACTTGATACACAATTGAACTAAGTACAGTGGGAAAGTCTAGAAATCTTCATGTTACTAAGACATAATGCAGTGAGGAGAAGAAAAGTTGTCCTTTGCATTACAAGGCTGCTAGGGCCACATGCCAATGAGTGCTTCATCCCTAAGGCTCTGCAGTCGATTCCCCCCTACCCCCCACAGAAGCAGAAAGGGAAAAAAGGGCTGGTGACACTTTCTCTCCTGCCTTCCTTTCCCAGAACCACAAGAGTACTCCAACTATCCCCAACCACCACATTAACAAGCCTAGTCAGAGAATGTCCCAGGCAAAGAAAAACCCCAGTCAGATGTCAGGCACAAGACTTAAACACCCAGCTCCCGGGCTACTACTGTGCAATCACCCTGGGTTACCAGTTTTACTTCATGCGTGTGTGCATGCCATGTGTGCGTGTGTGTGCGTGTGTGTGTGTGTATATTCAGTGTTTTTATTTTGGGAAGTATAGTACCTTTTTTTTGGTGTTAGTGGTACTGGGATCAAACCCATGGACTCTGCACAGAGCTGTATCATCAGCCTTTTCTACTTTGAGACAGATTCTGGTTAAGTCACCAAGTTGCCCAGGTGAGACCCAAACTTGTGACACTCTTATCTTGGTCTCCCAGAGTGCTAGGGTTACAAACATGTGCCACCAAATCACCTAGCCAGTAGTACACTTCTAAGGGAATCTCTCTGATGTTCAAGAGATATGATTTAACATGTATCGAATACTGTGATCTCAAATGAAAGCTTTTTATCATCAGTTAACAAAATTTAGAAAGTAAGCCAACAGTCTTCAATTTTTTTTATATCGGAGCGAAGAAAAGACTCCAGATGATCGATGTCCTCTTTGAATAAAACACAAAGTTCTTTTTCTTTCTTAATCTTTTATTTATTGATTTGGTACAGGGTCTCACTACGTAGCTCAGACTCGTAGTGATCCTTCTGTCTCAGCCTCCCCAGTGCTGGGATCACAGGCATGTGCCACCACACCCCCCGATTTTGGTGGCCAGCTTAATGAAGAGAGCAAATTTATCAAACTCTTCTAGGTTGACTTTAAATCACAATATTTACAAACACCTACCCACACTTAATACTAAAACTACAGTAGTGTAGTGCTGAGGTTCTTGCAGAGAATCTGCATTTGTTCCCATTCCTGGTCTCAAGAGGCCTCTGCGTGAATGACTGCATTGACACCACTGCCACCTAGTCTAGGCTTTGGAGCACGCCTCGCACAGAGACGGGGTTTCACGCTTGATACCCAGGGCACAGACTTCACACAACCTCAGATGTTCTGAAGATTAGGAACTGCAGCTAAGTGAGGCCAAGGAATTCATTCAAGGCCACAGCTGACAAATGGCCTAGCTGTGCTTGTTTCACTTTACCAAACTAGGCAAGAGAGCCTTCTTAAGTAAGCAAACTAAGTCAATATGCAAATTAAATCAATTTATTTTACAAGAATGAATTGAAATAATTTAAGGTCCAACACACTGACTTGTGGAATTCTCTCAGGGCTGTCATTACTGCTCTACAGGGAAGCTGCATCTGCCCCAACTACCACCAGCATTCAGATACCCAGCCAGGAATGCAATCCCTAACCCTCCCCCTCTTTCTTGGAGGCACAGCAGACTGAACCCAGGGCCTTCCCACAGCTTTATCCCTAGTCTTTTTTTGTAAGTTGTTAGATTGCCCAGGCTGCGCTTCAATTTGCACTCCTCTTGCCTCAGCCTCCTCCAGTGTCCCAATTACACATGTGCGGTACCACGCTCAACACCCCTCATATTTCTTTCCAAAAACAATGCTTTCTCTTTTTGTTCCTACTGGAATTACACTAACTACTCAGGACAAAAAAAGGTACCCCTTCACACCCCTTTAAAAATAAATACCCCTTTATCCAGGGAGAGTTCTATCCAGAGGTAGGAGTTGTAGAGACAATGAAAGATTCAGATGGTACTTAAGTTAACTCAAAAATTCCAACAAAGCATCCCAGAGCTGCTGGCTAATGAGATTTTCCTAACTAAACATGTTTAGAAACTAAATCTGAACATAGTGTAAGTCTACTGACATAACCAATGAGGCAGCAATTTAAATTCTTTTGTGCAACTCTTTTCCTGCAGCAACAGCCATTTATGGAACAAATGACTCTCACGTGAAAGTGAGTATGCTGCGCTGCATCTGGCTGATTCTCAGGACAAACAGTAGCCGTCGGCCAACACAGTGACTAGGCCATGAAGGAGGGGAAGGGCAGGGGAGGCAGCTGGCTTTCAAGGTTACAGGAAGTAAACTCACTGCTGCTCACTGTCCTTAAAAGTCTCTCCCTGAGGAGCCCCAGCACTGCTCCTAGGGTTAGACTCACATGCATGCTCCAGGATGCCAGCCATCTAGGTACCACCACTCAAAAGGAAAACAAATATCATAAACTCTTTTAATTATAGTAAGCCTTTTATATTATAAGCAAGTACTAAACACGGATTCATTCTAGCAAAACCAAACATAACTATATTTAGGTATCTAGTCTGTTTTATTTATGTTTTAATGGTGCCTAATGAGTAGATTGCTTAAAAAGAAAAGTAAGATCAGTAATGTATTTTAAATTAAAATACAGTTCCTTTCAGGCAGGTTTTGAATGTCTCAGCTCCTTCCTCAACGCCCCTCAAAAAAACTTCAAGGGAAAAATCTGTGACGCTAGATGGCAGCAAAAGGCCACCCTAAGAATTCAAGACAGGCCAGGCGGCTTCACTGCCTTGGAGTGAGCTGAAGGGGTTCCTCCCTAGGAACCCTTACTTCCAATACAAAAGGCTGGCATGGTGTTTTTTGGCACTTTTTGTAGGACATTGAGAACACTGAATAAATTTTAATTGAATAGCTGTTAAAACTCAACAAATTTTACCTTTGTAATTAAAAAAATTATAGCCATTCATATATTTAATAAGGTTGATTGGGGAAAATTGGTAATTTTCAATACTTATTAATTTGGGTAGGTCCTACTTAGGACTGAACCCAGGATCTTTGCACTCAGCAACAAACATCTTTAACTTTTTTAAATTTGTTTTTTATTTTGAAACAAGATCTTCCTAAATTGTCTAGGCTGGGCTTGCACTTGGAATCCTCCTGCCTCAGCCTTCACAGACTGGTGGGATTACAAGTGTGTGCTATCATGCCTAACAGATCTTCCAAAATTTTTTAAATCAAAGATTAACACAGTCAAGGGCCATACCCAATATCCTACTGATGGAACTAAATATACTTTTTTCCCGTGGAAGTTCAGTTACACCTCCATCTGGAAGTTTTGACTATTTTTTTCCCATGTCAGTTACCCTAACACTTCATTTCCTCCTTTGTTATCAATGATCATTCACCCTTCACCTCAGGCCTTTTAAAGTTTATCTCTGCCCTGCACACTAGTGCACACTTGTAATCCCAGCTACTTAGGACCTGAGTCAGGACTGCCAACATCTGAGGTTGGCGTGGGCAACTTAGCCTTACTGTCTCAAAAACATTTAAAAAGAGCTACAAGGTGTAGCTCAGTGGTAGAGCTCTTACCTAGCATGTATAAGGCCCTAGAAACAATCCCCAAGATAGACAGACAGGACAGAGACAGACAGACAGACAGACAGACAGACAGACAGACAGACAGACAGACAGACGGAGGAATTGATGGATGGATGGATACAAATTCAACCTCATGAGTCCATGTCTTTTCTCAGCTGTTTCCCTCTGCCAAATGCCAGTGAAACACAGCAGAGGCCCACTCCTTCTTCATTTAGATCCCTACACTAGTCTCCTGAAACCCTTCCCACCCTGCAGGGCTCTCCTGATACCCTTCAATGGCTCTCTCTCCTCTCATTACACTCCGAGGGTTATGGACACCAGTGATTGAATCTATCCCATAACTTTAAAGACTTTTTCTGGCCTAGTCCCCTGGTTTCCTGACTTGAGCTCTCTTCCTCACAGCTAACACATCTAGCATCAAACTGCTGACCTGCTCCATCACAGCAAATGACATCACCATTTTTCAGTAAATCAGACCAAGAATGAGAGTTTCACTCATGAGTGCTCTCTGTCTCTAGACCCAACCTATAATCCATTACTAGGTCTTGCTTTTATTTTAAAAATAAATTCAGAGTCAGACTACCTTTGGGAAGGCCACTGCCATCACGTGATACACCTACCTCGAGCCTTGCTGCTGCCACATAACAGCCAGCTCAAGCTGTTTCATTCAAATCACCAGTGCACCTTCCAAACTGCTCTGGGCCCTATTCCTCCCAACAGAAGATGGGGGTGCTGGGCTCTGGCCAGCTCCCTACCTGCTGTGTGCCTAAGCTCCAAGACAGCACCAGACACACAGCAGTTAAAGAAACACCAGCTCCCTGAGGGAGGAAGAGAAAAGCCTTATGGGAAGTTTCAAAGGATGCTCCCCCAAATTAAAGCTGGGACAACCACTTTCCCAGAGTGCTACCAGTCCAGTGTTTCAATTAATTGCCTAATAATAATGAACTTGGAGTATATCTATAATTTCCTACTTTTATGGGGCCTTAAATTTATTATGTTACTTCATTACTCTATATTAAATCTAGCCAAAGATGGCTAATATGGGAAAATATATCTGGGTAAAACATGTTGTCAGAGCTGGGCACTCTCATGGGGCCGTGTATCCAACAGTGCAACGGCTACAGACCACCAGCACTGCAGACCACAGGACACCCCAAGCACAAAGACACC